TCAGGTGCGAACTGAGCCCGCGATTAAGGGAGGCGTGTGTAGCACTGCAGCGGCAGCTGAGCCAGCCCCGTGGAGTCGCCCACGACGGCGTGAGTGCAAGGACAGTCCTTCAGAGATGGAGTCGTGGGTCCGCCAGGAACCTCCCCGGACGTCCTTAGGGAAGAGCTTGTTGCCTAGAGTTGGGGGAAGGTCCGGAGTTCTGTCCCCAAGCGCTGGGGACCTCCACCAATCTCAGGATCTCCAAAGGAATCTCCGCCTTAGGGCTGCGTTGATCTTTACCTGGTTCCCTAAAAGATCCCGCTCCAAGCACTGATCCAAGCCCCAGGCCCTCTCCACAACTCCCCAAAGACAAGCGTTGACCGCCTCCCTCCACTCCAGGTTTTCCTACAGGCTCTTCCCCAGAAGGGGAGGATCCCTGCTCCTGTGAGCCCAGGACCCACATGTATTCCTTCCACAGGGGTGCGGCCCCATGGGTCCCTATGGCCCTCCTCAGACGAGCAGTGACCTTTCTCCCCTGCCTGGATTCCCAGCCCCGCCCCTCCATGCACCCTCCCAGCCACCACGCTTGGACCCGCAGCTGATGCCTTTCCCTGTCCCGGCAGGGTGCGGCGCGCCTGGTGGCCCTGGAGTGGTTTCGAGTGTCCAGCCAGCGACGTTCGCAGGCTGAGCCCGTAGCTGGTATCTTGGGCGCTGTAGCGCGCCTAGGACCAGAGCTGCTGGCACACGTGGTGAACCTGGCGGATGGAAACGGGAACACAGCCCTGCACTACAGCGTGTCCCATGGAAACCTGGCCATCTCCAGCTTGCTGCTGGATACTGGTCAGCATGGAGGGGTGGGCAGGGTACTAGGTAACGGGGTGGGGAGCACGGAAAGGAGGCCCTGGCAAATCCCAGCTAGGAAAACCTGGAGAAGTGTGCACAGAAGAGCTGGCCAGGCAGATGTCACCACAGGACCTTCATTGGGAGTTTCAGGATCCATCATGGATGGACCTGAGCTCTGTACTGACTCTTCACTCACTTTCCTGGGGGAGGGAATTGTAGGCTTTTGGATGTGTCGTCCAAAATTTAGGAAGATTATTTAATCTCACCATCTTTAGCTTCCTCAGCTATGAAATGGGACAGATCACCTCCCTACCTGGGCAGTTGTGATAACTGTAGAACAGCATCAGGCATCCAGTATGAATCTCCAAACCTGGTGCTTATCTTGTTCCCGAGCCTCCATTTCTAGCCAGCTGCCTCTCTAGTCTTGAGGGAAGATACTCACTAGTCAGGGCTGTGACTACCATCCTGGCCTGGGAGTGTACCTTGTCCTCCACCGGTTCCATTTCACACATTTCTATCACCTACCTCTTACTAGCTCATCCCCTGCCTCTGGAGCAGAAATACATCGCCCCGTGGGTTGCTGAACCCACAGACATGTACTGAGAGCCTACTAGGTACCAGGTGCAGTGTTGGGAGTAGGCCACCCACACACAGTTGCTTTCCCCAATGGACTCAGGGCAGAGGGAACAATGGGCAGTAAGCAAAACTGACTGACCTTCTGAGTGCCCTGCTTCAGGTCCAGTAACATCTGGGGCCTGCCTTTGGGAAAACCTGTCTCACTGCAGCGAAGGCAGGTCCTGTCCCCTCCCTGAACCCAACACAGATCCATCCCATCCCTCCAGTTCTTGGTGATCAAAGGAACAGCACAGCCACTGGGGGCTGATCAGGAGGCTGGGGCTTGGTAGGAGGGGATGATGCATGAATTTGAAAGTTATTTTCTGGGCATCTCCTGCTTTAAAGGGGGCTGTGTCTGCAGCAGATGGCAAGGTAGGCATGACTGTCATTGACAAGAGACCCAAGGCTCCTTGGGCCCTTACTTCCTATTAGTCATCACCAGTATCCCCCATATCCCTATCTGCTTGCTGTCCTGTCAACCTGACCCAGCCTCCCCCAGGACGCTGAGCCCACAATGAACCTGATATAGGGGCTGCTTCCTCTTTCATCTCTCCAACCTCCTGGCTTCCCAGTATCTTGATCTGCTCCTCTCCCTTCACCTTGACCTTTGCCTTACACTAGGAAGGTCACCTTGAAACTCTGATGTCACCAACTATGCCCCCTCCATAACCTCACTCCCCAATGTCTCAGCTTGCTGTCTCTCATTCCCCAACTATAACAAACCTCAATCTTATGGGACTATTAACCATTACCCCCACCCTATCTCCTTGGACACCAGTCATAAGGGATTAGAGCCTACAATAATGACCCATCTTATTACATCTGCAAAGACCCCATTTCCAAATAAGGTCAATTTACAGTATAGTACTTCAACATATTTTTGGTGACAATCTGCAACACAGGCTTGGGACAGAGATTAGAAAGGAATGTAACTTAGGTAACAGCCTCACAAGTCATAGTGCACTATGGCAGGTATTCCAGGCGCAATGGGGATCACAGGAAGGTTTTAAGTAGACTGGGCAAAACTTTTGATCTGTGGGCTGCTGCATGGAAATGAGGGGAACTTAGACCAAGGTGTACCAGTTCTTTGGGGGAACAATGATGGTGACTTGGTGGGCAGTAGCCATGAAAATAAACATCCCTAGATGAACCCAACACTGGGAGAGGTGAACAGGTTGGGCAAGGGGCATGAGCTCTTCTCAGTCGAATGACTACCTCCTCTCCTAGGGGTCTGCAAGGTTGACTGCCAGAATCGAGCAGGCTACTCAGCCCTCATGTTGGCTGCACTCACTTCCACTGGGCACCAGGACATGAGTGTGGTCCAGAGACTCTTCCAAATGGGCAATGTCAATGCCAAGGCCAGCCAGGTGCGTGGACCCTCCCTGGCTCCTGAAGAGGTCACTTCCACTTTAGGAGCCAACCCTGTCTTTGACCTCCCTTTCCCTAAAACCCACCCAGCTGTCTTCTTCCCCACTCCTCAGACAGGGCAGACAGCCCTCATGCTGGCCATCAGCCATGGCCGACAGGACATGGTAGCAGCCCTGCTGGCATGTGGAGCAGATGTCAATGTGCAAGATGTGGATGGGGCCACAGCCCTGATGTTTGCCAGTGAGTATGGGCACCTGGAAACCGTCAAGTTGCTGCTGGCCCAGCCAGGCTGTGATCCCGCCCTCCTGGATAATGTGAGCAACTGTGGGGCTGGCTGAGTAGGCAGGGTACCTGTGCCTTGGTTCAGGGACCTAACTGTTCATGTTTTTCTTCAGGAGGGCACCAGTGCCTTGGCCATGGCCCTGGAGGCTGAACAGGATGAGGTGGCTGCTCTGCTGCACGCGCACCTGAGCTCGGGCCAGCCTGGTCCCCTGGTGAGTGTAGCTCCAGTCCCAAGCAACAAAACTTTATAGCTGCACACTGGGGGAGGCTACCAAGAGTGTTCTAGAAAGCTCTCCCTTCCCACTACCCCAGGGGAGCAGTAGGGTGGGGAACCAGGGTCTGAATCTCCTATGTGGCTAGGAAGCTTCCTCCATTTCATAGGTCATGAGCCTGAGATCTGCAGAGGGAAAGTGACCTATGATCAGAGACCTGTTAGAGCTTCTATTCCAATGAACTTGTTATTGCCCCCAAGGAGGCTCATAGCAAAGGAATCAGACACCCTTTGGAGTTAGGCCTGGTGGGGAAAGAGGATACAGGGTCCCTGCAAGTAAGAGCTTCAGAACTGGAGACTGGATGAGTTTGCCAGCAGCAGGCAGGGAACACTCAGTTTTTCTCCAAGGGGGAGAGAGTTAATACTCAAAGCATTTGAATAATTAAACTCAATCAGTTTGTCCATCCTGCTCTTTCCTGTAGAGCTATGGGAAAGGAGGCATGGAGGTCAAGCACCTCTTCCAGGTCAGATGGGGCAAAGGCAGGATTCAAATCCAGGCAGCCTGCCATTACTGTGAAGGAATTCTTCCTTAGACAAGACCTCCACTAGTTTAAGCATACTTGAGTCTGAGGGAGCTAAAACCCAGTGTTCTGCCCACAAAAGATGATCTCCCCCACCTTTTTCACCAGCCACCCCCTGACTCCCCCACGGCCATGCCTGATCCAAGAGGAAGCAGTGACAATGGAGAGGATCCCCAGTCTCAATGAGTGGCCTCCAACAATGGACTTGGATGTGGGGGTGAAGAGATCGTTCCCTCCCCCATCTCAACTGGGGCCAAGGTCCGTTGTCCAGTTGCTAAACCTGGACCGACCTTCTTCCTTAATAAAACATTCCTAGCTAAATTTGTATCTTGCTACCTGGCCTTCAGCCTTCATGGCTCAGTGGTTGAGTGTCCACCCATAAACCAAGAAGTCACTGGTTTGATTCCCAGTCAGAGCACATACCCAGGTTATGGGCTCCATCCCCAGTGGGGGACTGCAGGAGGCAGCCAATCAATGACTCTCATCACTGATACTTCTATCTCCCTCTCCCTTCCTCTCTCTGAAATCAATAAAAACATTTAAAAGTAAATAAATTTGTTTTAGAAGCACAGAGAGACACACGGTTACTTCTCCTCAAAAAGAAAAGTGCCTTGTTGGGGTAGAATACTGCCGCCCCCCCCCCCCAGGTTTCCAGAATGCAAAGGGGTCACTGACTACTTGGATGCCCCACCGAAAGGTATTATAGGCCTAGTGACCCCAGACAAAAACCTGGATTTACACAAACGCTTTATTCACAGAACATCTTCCCCATGGGTCACGTGGTCCACCCAGGCAGCCAGGACCCTGTAAACAGACCCAAGCATGAGATGCTGACAGGCCTCCCAGCAACTGGCAAACTCCCTCCCCAGCCTTGCAGCCCGTTTCTACACCTCCACTGTCCTCCAAGAGCCCCTCATCTGTGGGCTTGCCCAAGCCTCTCTACCACCAGCCAAGAGTCTAAGAGATGCCGGCTCTCAGTTCTCTCATTCCGGTACTGTACTCACCAGACACAAATTCAGCGCAGCCTCCGAGCCTCTCGCTCTGACTCCAATAGCGTGAGCACGTCGCCCTCGCGTACGGGGCCTTTCACGTTGCGGATGATGGAGCGGCTCGTGTCGTCCATGAACTCCACGCGCACCTACGGGGCCGACGGGGGGGGCACGGAAAGAAGTGTGGGCTAGCCACGGATAGGCACCGGATCTGGATTATAGAAGGTGTGAAGCGCCGGCCAAGGCATACTTAGAAAGGGGACTGAGGCTCGTTCGCAGATAGGGCTGGGCCGGGAGAAAAGCCGAAAAGGGCGGAGACATGGCGAACAAAGCTCTGGAACGCCAGAAGCAGCCACCAGGAAGGAAAACTGCAGCTCTGGGCCCGTTGGAGACGGGTGCATACTCGGTAGGGCGTGAAGCCACACAGTGGTCGTTGGGACCGGCTGAGACAAGAAAAAGAGGTCCATCGGAACTCAGACCCGGCTGGTAGGGCCTTGGTGAGGGTTCGGACCCTCAGGAACCCTGGGATAAAGGGTTCTCGGATTCCAAGAGGCATAGTTCAGACCCCGGGGCGTCCCCATCCGCTTACCTGTGTGCACTGTCCCTGGGAACCGGTCCTGCCCAGCACCTTGGTGACCTGGCGGAAAGAAGCTGGGGTCAGAAGTGGCCCGGCCGGTTCCCCCTACCCCTCCTGCCTCACTTCGGCAACCAACACCGCAACCCCTCTCACCCTGGCTAGCTTGATGGGCTGCACACGACTCGTGTCCATGATGGCGGCAACTGTAGAGTCGAAAGGAGTCACGTGCTTTGGGAAGATCCTTTATACAATGCCCTAGCCCCGCCCTCTCCGCTCTCGCGAGAACGTACACGTACTTCCCAAAAGCCCCCTCTGTAATGACGTCGCCGGCGCCCTTCAGCGCAGTCCGAAGATGGCGTCTGCTACTCGGTTCATCCAGGCGCTACGGAACTGGGCCTCTGGGGTACGCGGGTCGGGAAGGGCCCTGCTGGGGCGGCTGCGTGCTCCGTGCGCTGCACACCCGCATCTTCACTTCTGTACCCTAGATCTGAAGGCCTTAGTGCCCAGATCCCCCTGTGCCAGCACCCCTCGCTTAGCCCGCGACCCCCAACTCTTGATTCCATCAGTTCGGGACACCCCACCTCCACCCCCACCCCTTGGCCGGAGACCTGGCCTCAGACCTGGCATCTCTCTAGTTTCGGACCTTATTAGCCTCGGCTCTGGTGGCCCCAGCCCCCTACTTTCCTCTTCACAGGGTCCGTCTACCTGCCTCTAACTGCCCGTCTCTTTTCATTTATCTATTCCTGGACTGTCCCTCTCCTCTCTTGGGGTGCCCTGCTGGCTGACCTCCTTTCTCTTTTCCTCCCACAGCAAGATTTGCAGGCGAAGCTGCAGCTGCGTTACCAGGAGATCGCCAAGCGGTGAGCAGGCCCCGCTTGCTGCTCAAACCCTCGCCCTATTCTGTCCTTCCTTCACCAAAAATAAAACCCGTGTTTCTTTAGACCCCTGAAGCCCTGAGCCAAAAATCCTGCCTCCAGCTTCCTGGTAGGCTGTGAAGGCAGGTTTGCCTTTAATCTTGCTGGACTGCGTCCTAAACTGCTACTTTTAGAAACAGCCAGATTGGGCATGAATTCTGATTGGGACTCTTCATTGTGATTTGCAGTCCTCAGTGTGGCCTTGCCAGTTAGTGTTATCCCCAAGCTACAGATGAAAAAAGTTTGAGGCATGGAGAGACCTAAATCATTTGCTTAAAGCCACTCAGAAGCTAGGAAGTGACAGCTGGGACTTGAATCCAGAAGTGCCTTGATTTCAACTCATTTATGTCCAAAAAATGCTTTATATTTACAAGCACTTGCCATGTTCTCAGCCATGGGGATACCAGTGCAAACAAGAAAATTTATTGTTCTCATTCCTTCATATCTTGGGGAAAGAAACATTTTGAAACCAGGCAATGAATGAGTCCAGGCTTCTTGTCACTACTTGAGCCAATTAAGTAGAGAGGGTTGAATCAAAAATGAGTGTTTAGTCCAGTTATGCTGGCAGTATGGGAGAGCAGTGGGTCATCCACGAAAATCTGCTCTAACCACCCCCCGCAAATAAGCCAGCTGCTTATATTGGGTAGAAGGGCAGAGATTACGTGGGAAAGGAGGGATTATAGGCACGAGGAAGTAGGTGAGGTATAATGGTTACAGGTTGCAGGCAATGTGGGCTGGGGGTTGCAAAGGGCAGGCACAGGGACTGCTGTGTTTAGGAAACAAGGTAGTTAACCTTTCCATGACGAAAGGCTGTTCTTTGAAAAGGAGAATGGACCGCATTCCAAGGTTAATTCCCATGACCAGGGGTGTACAACTTTCAGCCAGGTTAGAATGTGCTTCCTTTAGTCAGACTGGAACAATCACGGTTAACAGAGCATGATTAATATTTCTTACAACTACAGCTAGTCCCCACTATTCTATTTCTGCCCCTAACACCACTATTCTATTTCTGCCCCAACAATTGTAGGGAAATAAACACAGCAGGCAAAAAGACATTCTGGAATGCTCCAAAGATAAAATGAATGAAAGTAATCTGGAGGGTGACTACCTTGAATCATGTTGTCAGGAAAAGTTTCTTTTCAGGGGTTGACATTTGACTCACCTAAATGATGAGAAGGAGCCAAAGGATAATTCTTGAAGAAACATTCTGGGCAGAGGGAACAGTAAGCACCAAGGTTGTGAGGCCCAAGAGAGCCAGAAGTAGAAAGGAGGCCAGTGTGGCTGAAACACGTGGGGGAAAGGGGCATAGCATTATAAAATAAAGTCAGCAACAGGCTAAGGTAAGGCAGCCTTGGGGGCTTGGCAGTAAAGGAAGAAAAATAGCATTAAAGTAACCAAACTTATGTGAATACCTACATGGTGTGACTAATTCCTGATTTCTTTTGTTGTTGCTTTTTGTTTTGTTTTTTTGTTAATCCTCACCCAAGGATATTTTTTCCCCATTGATTTTTAGAGAGAGTGGAAGGGAGGGAGGGGGAGAGAGACAGGAGAGAGAGAAACATCGATGTGGGAGAGACACATCAGTTGGTTGCCTCCTGCACTCGTCCCAACTGGAGCCAGGGATTGAACCTGCAACCCAGGTATGTGCCCTTGACTGGGAATCATACCTGAGACCCTTCAGTGTTTGGGCTGATGCTCTAACCACTGAGTAACACCAGCCAAGGCCCTAATAAAAAGAATTTTAAATAGCTTTTCCATCCAGGACTTGGGCCAGTTGAGGAAACCTCTGTAAAATTTTAGCTTCTTTAGGATAATGGCTCCCCCTAGTGATTTTTTGGGCCTTTCTGTTCGTTCACTGGTTTTGTTTTTTTTCAATCCTCACCCAAGGATTGAGGATATTTTTTCCATTGATATTTTTTAGAGAGAGTTGAAGGGAGAGGAAAGGGGGAGGGGAGAGGGAGAGAGAAACATCAATGTGAGAGAGACACATCTATTGGTTGCCTCCCACATGTGTCCAACTGGGGGTGGGGATCAAACCTATGTGAGGGGAATTGCAAAACTCGTTTTGCAGGCCAACGCTCTAACCATTAGACCACCCTGGCCAGGGCTTGGCACTGGTTCTTTTTTTTAAAAAATATATCTTTATTGATTTCAGAGAGAGGAAAGGAGAGGGAGAGAATGAGATAGAAACATCAGTGATAAGAGAGAGTCATTGATTGGCTGCCTCCTGCACGCCCCCCGACTGGGGATTGAGCCCGCAACCCTGGCATGTGCTGTGACCGGGAATCGGACCCTGATTGCCTGGATCCTAGGTCTACGCTCAACCACTGAGCCATGCCCAGTCAGGCAAGCACTGGTTCTTTATACCTTTTCTCTGTGCTGGGTTGCAGAAAGCTATGGCCATTCCTACAGAGGTCATCTCTGCACTCTAGGGGTTAAGCAAATTCTAACTTCCGCACAGGATATTATTTTGAATGTGAAATTTTAAAAATTTACTTTTATCTGTATTTCTTTTCTAAAAAGCATACAATGACTATCACTTGTTTTAAGAAAAAACTTAAATCCTGGCAAAATTATCAGACAAAAAGCTTATTTAAAAACATGGTTGAGCCCGGCCAGGCGTGGCTCAGCAGTTGGGCATTGACCTAGGATCCAGGAGACTGAGGTTCGATTACTCATCAGGGCACATGCTCAGGTTTCAGGCTCGATCCTCATTGGGGGGCGTGCAGGAGGCAGCCGATCAATGACTCTCTCTTATCATTGATGTTTCTATTTCTATCTCTCTCTCCCCCTTTGCCTTCTGTCTGAAATCAATAAAGATATATTTTAAAAAAAAAGGCATGGTTGAATGAAAACCCAATTTTTTAAAAATATATTTTTATTGATTTCAGAAAGAGAGGAAGGGAGAGGGAGAGAGAGATAGAAACATTAATAAGTCATTGATCAGCTGCCTCCTGCGTGCCCCCTACTGGGAATCGAGCCCAAAACTCAGGCATGGGTCTTGACCATGGATCAAACCATGATCTCCTAAATCATAGGTCGATACTCAACCGCTGAGCCACTCCGGCTGGGTGAAAACCCAGTTTTTAAAAGATTTTTCCTACCTTTTCTGCCCTCCCTCTCTGCTATGTTTTCCAGGGAAGCTCCTCTTGAGATTAGGGTTTCCTATTCAAGCTTCCAGCTTCTTCATAAATTCACCCCAGGGCCAAGACAGAGTTCTGTTCACCCCCCTTTCTGGCTGCAGCCACCATGAGGTGGCAGGAAATGCAGAGGCCTGGGAGGCTTGGGGTACAAGGTGCTTTTTGAGTAATAAGCCTTGATCCCAGCAAGGTTCTCCAGAGAGTTAGATAGCAGGAAACCCAGGAGTTCTGTAGTCTGGCCTTTGGGAAGGAAGCCCCTCAGAATGAACTATGTTTGGAGCTTGTTGCCCAAGCTTTTATTGACCGTAGTTACTAGATAGGTAATGGGCAGAGCCTCACAACCTGGCTCTTCATTTCCTGAGCATCTGAAGGTGGAAGTGAGGCCAGCTGCCGAGCTCTGGGCCATGGTGGGGTGGGAACAGGCCCAGGTGTTCAGACTGGGTGTGTCCCTTCCTTGGGTTTCACAAAAGGTCATTCATCCATACCTACCACATTTGGGGAAGGTGGGGGACCTGTAGTGGGGCAGACCCAGGTCTCACTTTTCAGCACCTTCACATCCAAAGCCTGGGCTGTCACCTGCTTCTAGGTTCTGGACTCTCATCAGGCATGTCTCTCCACGACAGTGTACCAAGGAATACGCCTGGCATGTAGCCTATCCCAGTGACTGAGGTGACCAGCCCTGCCCAGCTAGGCAGTGAGAACACTTACGGCTTTACTTTAGTGCCGGTGTCCTTTTTCCTCAGAACTCAGCCTCCTCCCAGTCTCCCTGTGGGCCCCAGCCACAAGCTCTCCAACAATTACTACTGCACTCGTGATGGCCGCCGGGAAGCCATGCCACCTTCGATCATCATGTCCTCACAGAAGGTGCTGGTGTCAGGCAAGCCAGCAGAGAGGTGAGGATGCCACATGCCTCTCCTGCAGTCAGCTGTTTCTATTGGTTCTGCTTTGCAAGGTCCCACTTATCTAGCATCAACTGTATTGGGAACTGTGCTGCTGGGGGCTTTTCATCTGCAAACATTTAATCCCCACCTATCTTGATATAGGGGTTAGGGCCTCAGCCAGGGGTGAGTTTCCTGCAAATCAGATTAAGCACCAAGGTTCCTTCAAGGGCCCTGGGAGAATCCCAGGCATTGCTGTTTTGTAATTTTGTATTTTTTTTTAAATTGAGGTGTAATTTACATATTATATTAGTTTCAGGTGTACAACATAATGATTTGATATCTATATTGCAAAATGATCATAAGTCATGTTCACCACTTCACATAAAGTTTTTTTATGTGTGATGAAAACTTTTTTTAAAAAAAATATGTCTTTATTGATTTCAAAGAGAGGACACTCCGGAGAGGGGGAGAGAAATAGAAACATCAGTGATGAGAGAGTCATTGATCGGCTGCCTCCTGCACTCTCCCTACTGGGGATCAAGCCTGCAACCTGGGCATGTGCCCTGACCTGGAATCAAACCTCGATCTCCTGGATCATGGGTCAATGCTCAGCCACTGAGCCATGCCGACCACGCTGTGATGAGAACTTTTAACATCTACTCTCTCAACAACTTTCAAATATATAATACAGTATTATTATATGGTACAGTATTACCATGCTGTACATTACGTTCCCAGGACTTGTTTATTTTATAAATAGAAGTTTGTGCCTTTTAACCCCCTTTGCCCATCTATCACCCTCCACCCCTGGCAACCACCAATCTCTTTTCTATATCTGTGAGCTTATGTGTTTGTTTTGTTTGTTTGTTTTCTAGATTTCACATATAACTGAGATCACATGGTACTTGTCTTTCAGTCTGACTTATTTCACTGAGCATAACACCCTCTAGCCCTCTAGGTCCATCCATGTTGTTGCAAATGGTAAGATATCATTCCTCTTCCAGCTCGGCCTTGGCAGCCACTGAGAAGAAGGCGGTGACACCAGCTCCTCCCATACAGAAGTGGGAGCTGTCCCAGGACCAGCCTTATCTGTGACACTGCTCTGGGCCACCTGGCTGTGCCCTCAGGGCCACCGAGTGCTTCCCCTCCTTGTTTTCCATACTGAGAGAACGTGACCTAATTTATGACAAATATATCATGCTCTCTAGTGTCACTTGCATTTTTACTTTTAAAGCAACACTGGGTTTACTTAGATTTCGGGGTGAGATTGGTGCCAAATCTCTTAACTCTGTCAGTGCTCCAGAGTGACATATCACAGACCTGGATGACATGGTACAGGGGGCCCAGAGATGTCCCTGTCCTTTCTCCAGGGACCTGGCTCTATTCCTGAGAGTAGTGGACTGGATTCCAGGGCCTCTGGGGATTTGAGAGGCTCTGACTGTGAAGGACAGCAGGGCCAAACACACACTGCTCACTTACTTCTCTCAAGAGTTTCCCCAGCCATTGCTCATGTGGACATTGGCCAGTACCGTCCCACTGCAGCCCCTGACTTTGACCATCCTGCAGCTTAGCAGGGAAGCAGAGAACAAGGTAGCTCACAGGTAAGGCTTACTTAGAGCAGGTGAGGAAAGGTCTCTCTGAGCCAGAAACCTTTCTCTGGGCCTGGGGGCAGGGGTGGGGTGAGGCCGAGTTAGCCAAGGAAAGGAAGGAGCTTGTGCCCGAGGAGGAATGAGCAGGAGAGTAAACGCCAAAAAGAAGTGTCCCCAGTCTGGCTGCAGGAGTGAAGGGAAGCTACACTCAAGTGGGGGAATGGTGTCCCATGAAAGAACCCTGCAGCTGTCAGTTAAAGTCAGCTGTGTGCTAGGAGAGAGGAAGTGGAGAGCAAGGCAGGAATCTGGGAAATTATCAGAAAATATAGCTACTACAAAAGCAGCTATAACCTCCATTTTCAAATAGTGAAGTGTGCCATTGACCTGCAAATAGAGCCCCTTCTGTGAAAACCTGTAAGCTTTAGTGTAGCTTCACAAGAAACTTAAGGGATTACTTGCATATCTGTCATAATGCTGAGGGACATTGATTTGTTTGGGTGGGGTCTTGCTAGCAATGGGACGTGCTGCTTCTCCTGAAGGCAGAGCTGTAGGTGAAAATATTTTCAAGAAGAGAATGCAGAAGCCAGATTGGTTAGAATGCAGGTTTGTTATTTTATGTGCCTTTGTGTGAGTGTGAGAAGTGAAAACTCAAGGATTGCTTTCGCATATCGTGTTCCAAAAGTGAGGAAAAATACTTCCCTACTGGGTATATGAGGGCTAAAGGAGGCCGTGAGCGCCGGCGAGCGCCTCCGGCTGCCGGGTCCAGGACCGAGGACGAAAGCCAAGAACTGGACGTTTATATTTAAAAGCCTACTAGGTAGTAGGCAGCACTGTTCTAGGCGCCGGGGACACAAAAACATTCCTCCTCCTGGGCCTGACATTCCAGTGGAGAATCAGACAGTAAACCAAAGTAAGTAAAACAATGTATTTTCGGTGTATGAAGGTAGAAGGCGAGGCGTCGGGTGCTTGAAAGGTTAGAAGGCGGGGATGGGGTGTGTCTGAGGGGAGTGGCTGCGATATTAAATAAGATAATTAGGCAGTACATTTGCTGCAGCGTGCATATGGGACATTAACTATTGTAAGTAGACACCGACAAGTTCGTTTCCGCCCCCACCCCACCCCCGTACCTTTCGCTATACCTCGTCCTGGGAAAATTGTGCGTCCCCTAGTATTCGGACATTTACGGTAGGCTTAGCGGCTAGACCTCCGGCTCAGGCCCCGCCCCCGGCCCGTGTGCACGCTTGCGCGGGGATCAGAGCTGGGCCGAGACTGCGCGCGGCCGGCGCCGAAACGGGTGGCACGTTGAGCGGTCGGATGGCACCGGGAGGAGCGCAGCAGACCGCGGCTCTAGGCCTGGCGCTGCGGCTGCTGCTTGGCTTTGGACTGGGCCTGGAGGCCGCCCCAACCTGGTCCCCGGCCCAGACCATAGGTGAGTGAGGTCCGCGCGCCCATCCCGCCGGCAGCCTGGCTTCGCCCATGCTGCACCACCACGCCATTGGCTGCGCCGCGCGTCTGTTCGGGACACTCCTCCGCAAGTGGCTGTTGACTCCTTAGCCGCGAGGTTGTGCGAGTCCTCACCGATGGGGGAGTTAACTGCCAGCCTTTATCCTGCTTTGGCCCTGCTCACACTCCGCACCTGCTCTGCTTTGTCACTTCCAAGCCGTCCTTCAGCCCAGCGTGGGCTCACTGTAGGCTCTGGTTGTCCGACCTCTAACACTGCAGGGCGGTCGCCTGGTACCTGGTACCTTCTGCAGCACCTGGTCCTTCCAAACTCTTCTGAGCTGAGGCCATGTGCCTGTTTTCTCGGCGACCATTCCCCCCATTCCCTTCCCAATCTGCACTTTTCTCCTCTGGTCTTAGAGAACGAAAGGTCTCCCTCCCTGTGACCCCTGGCGTTTGTGATGTTGGTGGCTGTCTCTAAGGTTCCCAGAGGTAGTTGGGAGGGTTAGAGAGGCCTTCCTGTGTGCACAGGTGCCCCTGACTTTTAGCTGTGAGCTCAGGTTCACACATCCCGCTTCTCCTTGGGTTTCCCTCTAATCTGGTCCCCTGCTTCACCCCAAAGTCCCTGCCTTTTCAGGTTAAATGTCCTTTCAAGGAAGGCAGGACTCATGTTAACCAAGTACCAAACCCTTTACATACAAGCAGTCTCCTCAGGACACTGAGGTAGGGACTCCAAACTGCCCCATTTATAGGTGAGAAAACGGAGACTGGGAGGGGAAATCACTGGTCTGGCCCCCAACCTTATGAGGCAGGGTCAACTCTGCTCTGCTGCCCACTTTACATAGGGACACACTCTCCAGCAGGCCAGGGAGAGATGTTTGTCCAGGCCAAGCCTGGCCAGGCTTGGGGAGGAAGCCTAGCCTGGAGGAGGACAGTCCCCCAGGGGCACCAAAGGAAGCCAGCTCCAGGTTGTCTACAGCTCCTCTCATGTGGCCTACAGCTGCATTTGGACCTGGAGGTCTGCAGAGGAGCCAGCTGTGGAGAGTGAGGTGTTTGGAGGCTCAGGCCCCTGTGAGTAAAGGCGGAAGGGGCAAATGGACCAGCATCAAATGGAGTGGGGCTAGGCTAGGGCCAAGGTCACTCCCTTGCTCTGTCCCTCAAACTCCCGTCTGCTGACTCAGGGTCCAGTTCCTTCTGTGCTCCTCCAGATCAACATACTGCCTGAGCTTTACTGTTGGGGATCCAGGAAGGCTCAGATTTCTTCTAAGTGTGACCTGTGTCCACTTATGGTCAGGCACCACCCTGGGCTTTCCATCACAAGGTCATGGTCCTGACTCACTGAGTGTCCAGTCTTTTCCCTATCAGTTTAAGGACCATTGTTATAAGTGGGAAGCAGAGCCTAAGGAGTCTCTGAGAAGGGCAGGAGACCCCTCCCAGGAAATAGATTGAGATCTGAAGGCTGAGGAGGAAATCACCAGGTACAGAGTGGAGGAAGGAAAGGGTGCACTGGGCCAAGAAACAGCACAAAAGCCCTTTGGTGGAACAAGCCAGGCCTCTTGGAGAAGCAGTGAGGAGGCTAGGACAGAGGGAGCTTGGTGAAGAGAGAATGTGGGGGGAGGGGAAGTTCTGGGAAGAGTTCACGGCTGGCCTAGGCCTTTCAGGTCACATGGAGGAAATAGGATTTGATTGTGAGAGGGCTGGTGGACCAGGAGATGGCTTTGAGCAGAGGGCAGCTGAGGTGGGTGACAGAATGATGTGACTGAGAGGTCTCCAGTGTCCAAATGGAGATAGGGGTGGGGGCCTGGTGAGAAGATAGCACATTCAGGATTGGGAAAGTAGTCAGATCTGGGAGGAATTTAGGAGCTAAGACAACAAAGCTTGGTGACTAAGCAGGTCCTTTACCCAGGGCCTCAGTTTCCCTTTGTTAAGTAGGTGGAATGTAATGGGCCCTGCTGACCCTGACCATGGGCCTGATGGATCCTCCCGAAGTCTGTTTAACCATGAAGTTTGGAGAGAGTCCTGGGAAGACCATCTGGCCATTTGGAGCCTGGTAATGACTCCAGGATCAGTGAGACCTGGGTTTGAACCCTGACTCTGCCACTAGTTCTGCTGCTTCTGGCCTTATGTATCCTCAGTGTTTTCTGTAGAATGGGGATCGCAATAGAACCTGCCCAGTAGGACTCGTGGTGAGGCCATGAACTCTTTGGCTCCAAGCCCCACACATAGTAGGTCCTCAGCAAAGGGTGGCCACCAATGTAGTTCCAGTGCTCTGGGACCTGGCTTGTCTCCTGGTGTTTCTTCCAGGCCTCACCTGTGTTCATCTTGCAGGCCCCAGCCCAGGCTCATGCCTGCCCACAAGCTTCCAGTGCCGCATCAGAGGCTACTGTGTGCCCCTCATCTGGCATTGCGATGGTGACCAGGACTGCCCTGATGGCAGTGACGAGGAGGAGTGCAGTGAGTGGCCACAGCTTGGGTTGGGTGGGACCACAGGATGTGTTGCTTGTGGAAGGGGTGTGGCTTTCAGGGGGCACACTGGAGAGGGCCCTGAGAGTGGGTGGGACTTGTAAGGAGGGAAGTCTGGGTCTCAAGCTTGAGAGGAGGTGGGTTTATAGGGAGGTGGAGTTAGTGTGGTCTTGGTAGGGAGGCTTGCAAGAGGGTGGGCTGTGGGGTGTACCTATGCCCTGTTGTGGGGGCATTAGGGACCTGACTGACCCGTACTCCAGAGATGGAGCCATGCACCCAGGATGGAGAATGCCCACCGCCCACAAGCAGCCTCTGCTCTTGTGACAGCATCAATGACTGCCCTGATGGCATCGACAAGATCCTTCCCAACTGCAGCAGCCAGCCCTGCCCAGCAGGGGAGCTCCGCTGCTTGCTGGGCAGTACCTGCATCCCACACACCTGGCTCTGTGATGGCCACCCGGACTGTCCTGACTCCAGCGATGAGCTTGGCTGTGGTATGTGCCATGGGACATCATCATGGCTGTAGCAGTGGGGAGGGCTGGTTGTTAGATAAGGATGTCTGACGCCTTCCCATGTGTGACCAGGCTGGGGACATGGACGTGTGTGTTTGCTCTTGTCTGCATCCTTATAGGGGCAGTGAGAGGTCACTCCTGGCACCAATGCTCACCAGTCTCACTCGGTCTGGAGTGGAAGATGAGCCTCCTGGTCCCCCTCAGGCACCTGAACACCTGTTCACCACCACCACCACACCCCCTCCCCAGCTAATGAATGTCTGGACTTATTGCAGGAACTGAGACCCTCCAGGAAGGCAAGTCTGTGGGGACCCCTGTGACCCTGGAGAGTATCACCCATCTGGAGAATGCCACAGCCACCATTGTCAGGAACCAGGACTCAGTCCAGTCCGGGAATCGAAGTGCCTACGGGGTCATTTCAGCTGCCGGTATGATGAACAGGCCCTACTACTCCCACTCCCTAGGCCTGGGGCAGCTGCTTCTAGGAGCTGGGGCTTGGGGAGGGGACAGGCTGAAGACCCCAACCTTGATGCATCAGGAGCTTAGTGGGTGTGGGGCTCTTTCACTCCCTCACTCACTCCCATCTGTCTGTTCCCCACAGTGGTGCTAAGTGCAGGTCTGCTTGCCGCCACTCTGCTTGTGTTGTCCCGGCTCTGTGCTCAGGGTCTCCTGTACCCCCTGGGGCTGCTGGTGGCTGTGAAGGAGTCCCTACTGCTGTCAGAGAGGAAGACATCACTGCTCTGAGGATGAGCTCTTGCCATCAGGCTGCCAGGGCCCTGAGTGTGGCAGCTATGAGGACACACGTGGCTGCTGGCACACCAGCCCTCAGATATGGGTTCTTCTGGCCACAGCACTGCAAACATGAGCTCTTGCAGACTTGACCCTGGAGAATGGAGTGCCTGACACTACCCCTGATTGTGGGGAGCCTGGATTGGGAACATGCCCCATCTGGAACCAAGTGGTTGGCCCCTGGCTGCCCTGGGCTGGCCCGTGTATAGACACTACTCCTGCCCCACCCTGTCTGAGGGTGGTGATTAAAGTTATTTCACATCATCGCCTATCTCTGAGCCTCTATCTTCCTCTGCCTGGGCAGCCTGGGGTCTGGGCAGCAGCCCTCCTCTGTGGCCATTCTGCTTCTTGCTTCCTGGGACCCAGAACAGGGGCAGTGGGGCAGTCTGCATTACCCACAGGCCTTTTTAAGGAGAGCAGAGCTTGGGCATTGCCTCCTGGAGTCCAGGGGTATCCCCGTCCTTCATGGCTGCCTCCTCGTTGAGATAGAAACTGGTCTCTGCTCCACAACATTTTAAAATGTAGGTTTTATTATTCAGGTACGATGAGGCCAACAGATTAGGAGAGGACTGCCATTGAAAAGACACATTGTGCCTGGCCAGGCATGGCTCAGTGGTTGAGCATTAACCTAGGATCCAGGAGATCGGGGTTCAATTCCTGGTCAGGGCACATGCCCGAGTTACGGGCTCGATCCCCAGTCAGGGGCATGCAGGAGACAGCCAATCAATGACTCTTTCATCACTGATGTTTCTATCTCTCTCTCCCTCTCCCTGTCTCTGAAATCAATAAAGATATATTTTTANACGGGCTCGGTCCCCAGTCAGGGGCATGCAGGAGACAGCCAATCAATGACTCTTTCATCACTGATGTTTCTATCTCTCTCTCCCTCTCCCTGTCTCTGAAATCAATAAAGATATATTTTTAAAAAAAGAAAGAAAGAAAAGACACATTGTGCCCTGGCTGGATAGCTCAGTTGGTTAGAGCATTTTCCTCATATGCCAAGGTTGCAAGTTCAATCCTCAGTCAAGGCACATACAAAAATCAATCAATGAATGCATAAATAAGTGGAACAACAAATTGATGTTTCTCTCTCTCCCTTTCCCTCTCTCAAATCAATAAATTTTTTTAAATAAAAAAAAAAAGACCCACTATAACTCACTGAGAGGAGGGGGTCCACCTTTGCAGGTAGGGCAACACAAGCACCATGGGCAGTCAGGAGGCAGAGGCTGGAGGAGAAACGTGGGCCAGGACCTTGACTCTGGTTTACTCCAGAAGGAATGGGCAAGGCAGGGTAAGCTTGGATTGCTAGTTTGAATAGTTTCAGTGGGCTCAGCGTAGGCACTGACTGTTGTGTGTCAACCTGTTGACAGTGATGCACTCAGCTAGGAGCACCTGAGACACTCACCTGGGTCTTTTATTGCTCGTTCTGCCTCCACAGACATCTCCCCGACCAGAGCCAGTGCTATGGCTGGACCAGCCCTTGTGGTTCTTAGTATGATCCCAGGATGCACCTTAGCAGCAACCGCCAGGGAACTTGGTGGAACAAGATTTATTACTCACAGGTCCTGAAGCTTACATGTCAGGCTCAGGGCCACATAGTGTGATGGGGGTGGTGGTGGTGGTGGAGGAGTGCACAGACCTGGGGCTCTGCCTTAGGGACTGAAGATGAGTCATCTAGGGTTGCCTGGATTCTCTGTTGGTGAATTCAAAGCATAAGAGCAGGAATTAGGATGCAGGAAGGGAGAAGCAAGGTCACTTGAGAGGTCAGTTATCTAGGTCACCCAGGGCTTTCTGAAAGAGGGTCTTTTGTGTATGGGAGTAGCCTGATTCCTTATCTGGGTTGTCTTGCTAATAGCTGTGTCATAAGACTGGCATTGTGTTTATTCAAGATGGATGTCTTTTGAAATGGATGCCTCAGCAACCAAAAAGCTTATTGTTAAGCACTTACACTATACTGTCCCTAGTTGGCACCTGGCAGGGCAATAGTGGCTCTGGATTGGTTGGTTTGCATGTTAAAGGTGAGTTGTTTGCTATCTCCAGGAACTAGCTAACCCCAAGGAACAGTCCCTCCCTGGTTAGGGAGACCCCAGCTGCTAGAGCATCAAGAATACAGAAAATATAATTAATATACCCCCTAACTGCTGGGCGATGAGGGCAAGGCTCTTCTCTGACCTGTTTCCTCATTACTGAATGGGGTGCCCAGGGCCTGGATAGCCTCCTTTGGGACAGTGACCTCACTAACATCCTTGGAGGTGAACTGGATATTTGCCATCAACTTGCCCCATGCAGCCCAGCGCTGGAAGACACCAAGGGTCTCATGCAGGGTCCTACACAAGGTCTTGGGGCTCCCAAGTCTGGCTGGCAGGGAGCTGGCCCCTAATATAAGATGCTGGGAGGGGATAGAGCAGGCGGGTGCAATAAGAGGGCTTCCTGGAGGAGGTAAAGTTCAGTTTTGGGACCCTGCTCCCCATGGGGGAAGGTGGTTGAGGAGGGTTTTGGAGTCTGGGCCTCAGGCAGTGTGTTGGAAGCTGAGCCCTCAGTGGGCAGAGGGAGTTGAGGCTTGGGAGGTGGGCTGCAACCAGGATAGGGGGCCCTTGACTGACAGTGGAGCAGAGGGTGCCCTGCCTTCTGGGGTACAAGGCCTCTGCACTGTCTGGGTGTACTCTGAGCTGGCCAAGACATCCTGCCAAAGAGAGGGAACCATGGTGGGCTTCTAACAGTTGACAGGAGTTATCCCAGAGAACAGAGTTTCCTTTTTCTTTTTTCCTTTGTTTCTTTTTCTTTTTTTAATTAATTGATTAGACAGAGAGTGTAAGGGAGAGAGAGAAACACAGATTTGTTGTTCCGCTTAGTTATGCATTCATTGGTCAGTTCTTTTATGTGCCCTGACTGGAGATCGAACCTGAAACCTGGATGTATCAGGACAATGCTCTAACCAACTGAGTGACCCAGCCAGGGCCAAGAGCAGGGTTTTCTTGTCTTTAGGGTTTTTTTTGGTTTTTCTCCTTTGCTCAGGCATGTCAGCTGCAGTGCGCCAGGGGCTATGAGGCCAGCTGCAGGTGTCACACGCTGTCTAAGCAGAGGCCTAGGATTTGGACCTTTCTGGGGTGTCACTTGGGTTCTCAGTTATCAGGAAAGCCAATCACCGCACACCCAACAGGAGCTCCCAACAACCGATGATATATTCTCATGGTTCTGAGTTCACTGAGCTGGCTGCTCCCCTGTGTTTTTTTCTTTTTGAGAAATCCAACCATTCAGTTTATTAAACTAAGGCTAGTGAAGCCATAGCATGGAAAAAAGCTGCAGTCATTTGGGACAAATGGATGATTTTATAAAGCTGAAATCCAAAGATTTAAAACATGGAAAGCTTGTTAATTATGAGGAAGTAATAAAACATAGAAGTGACCACAAGAATTACAAATATATGTAAATTCTCTGTGGGAGAAGAGAAATGCCTTGTATGTTCTGACAGCACCGCACCTTTGTCCTGTTTTTAGTGGTTGGTGGAACATGAACAGCAGCCACATCGTTGCTTGGAGAAATGTCATTTTCACATCTTTTTAACATTTGCTTCTGGGAAACAACGTGGTATATCTCTGCAGAACTGTTTGAAAAGCAGCTTCTATATTTGTAGAGTCTAGAGCTGATATCTCAGTGAGTGACCAACCATTCTTTTCTGCAAAAGTTTTTGCTTTATGTGTAGGAACTGCCCTGAGATGACGCAAATCACCCTTATTGCCCATGGGCATGACAGTAATGTTACTATTGGCATGACCTCTCAGTTCTTTTGTTACAGGACCAGGCAGGTCTGCCTCAGGTCAGCCTGTAGTGCGTGGGTCCTTGACTTCTTGTAGGAAAGATTTCACAACACGCGTCCAGATCGGGTTGAGAATATATTTATGAATGCGGGGGACAATAAAACAGAGGAAGAAATTAGGATAGAAGAAACAAGATGGGAGAGCCTAGGCGGTGCTCTGCTTTGGCTCTCTAGAAAGTTCTAGGAAAGAAGTGAGCCAAGGTGTGGCTGCTGCTGTTAGCTCACTGGGAAGTGAAGGGCACAGTGTGAGAAGTGAGCCTGGAAGGGCTGCTTTAGCTCCCTGGGAAGGCAGAGAAAGAGGAGGCCTTGGAGACAGGAGCAGGGGCTGAGCCTGGGTCAAGCTGCCACCGCCCACTGCTCCCCTGGCTGCAAGCCTTGTGGGGACCTTAGAAATAGAAGGTTCATGCCCAGGAAGGGACGTGTGTACTCTAGAGCGAGCTGCCTTGGGTCTTTGTCCTGAAGGCCTTTTTTCCTGCAGGGAGAATCTTAGGGGAGGGTTTCAGTAGAATATTCATCAGCTTTCCAGGTGCATTCTTTATATGCTGAGGCATTAAAATGAGTGTATAAGGGGATTATTCTTTGGGATTATTCTTTGGTCTTTTTACTTTTATCTTAGGTCTGTCTGGCTTTAATGGGGTTTTTGTTATTTGTTCCCCAACTTCATTTGTCCTTGAGTTGAGCTGCCACAAACAGCATTAATTGGGTCTTTAGTCACTATTTTTCCCAGGCCAGGGTGATTTAAACTATGTATTTTCTGGTTAGGGAGGAGAGTATAAACCATTTGCTCTCAAGTGTCCATGGTTGAGGGAGATAAGGTCTTACAGTTCACAAGCTGGCTGCAAGCTGCCCAAACTGTTTGGTCTTGTTTAATTTTCTTGTCTCAGTTTCCCCATTCCACCTGCCCAGGGATTTTCCTAGCTTCTTACTATCCTGCTACACTTTCAGCTCACTCTACATTTTCATATGTGAGATGTTTAGCAATGTCATAAACCAATAAGGCACCTTATTTGTGCCTTCATTGTTTTCCTATCAACCTGGATACTTGTGTTGCAAACTTTACTCCAGTGGTGCTCTTCTTTTAAGATTAAACTCATTTCAAGTAAATTGAGACAGGAGATTACTCTTTCCAACACTAGGATCTCTGGTAAGGGCAATTTTGAAGAGATAGTCCTACTCATCTCAAGGATGCCCATTGCCTGGCTGAGGAATGAAGGGGTGGGAGCAGCAGTGGTATTGGTGGGACTAGAGGGTGTCACTGCAGGCCCACCCCCTTTTTTAATGTTACTATGATTTTATTTTTTCAAGTTTTAAAAAATTTTCAATTACAGTTGACATTTGATATTATATTAGTTTTTGGTGTGCAGAATAGT